ACTCGAAAATTAAATCCATTTTTTATGGCACTACAAGGTATTATCTCACAGCAAATGATAATTAAACACCTGTGAAATCAATTAGCCCTTTAAGCAGGAAAAAAAAAAAAAAAGTTTTCCAATTATGTTTTTGCGCCTCCAAACTTTCTGATTCCAGAACCAGTCCTTGCAGAGAGGGAAATGAACTGTCAGCCAGTAGCCTGTTAACCAGCAGCAAGATCACCTGAAAGCATCGTGCGGCTGTAAATCCCAAAGCAAGCAGATCATGGCGACGGCACCCTTCCAGGCAGGGTGTGCGAGGCTCTGGAGCTCCGAGTCAGGCAGCTATCTGTCTGACACACAGCTGAGTTGTCAGGTTTCCTACAAAGACAGTTACTCACTTGTTGTTTCCAATGCCAAGTTTTACTTGACAGTATATTTTAAAGCCAACATGCCTTAATGGAAACCAAGCAACAAGACTCCCCGTGTGACAGAGCGGGTTTCTTTTCAGCCTCTCCAGCCAATAGTTCGGAACCATCTGCATTAAGAATTCACCCACGGAAAACTGGCCAATTGGTTAATGGCTGAAACTTAATATATTGGAAAACTAGAGAATGCTCTGCCATTTAGCCTTGTGTTATGAGTGTTTCGTATCTGGCTTTGTCATAGCACTTGTGCTGGTCTAGATTCTTTTGGAAGATGCATTGTGTGTCTGTGGGTTCACAGATTTGGGGAGGGAGCCCTGAACATACTTGGTGAAGTGCCATAGCAATTTTTGGCTCAGGAAGGAAAAGAAGAATCTCTAGTCCCATCTGACATCTATAGTGGTATGCACTGATACTCTTTGCCAAGATGAGCTCCAGCATCTTCCAAAAGATGGATTACATGTGGCACTGTTAAAATAGATGCTGCTGGGCTGAGGCCATTGTATTTGTTTCAGTTTCTGCTGCTGTATTCTCCTCCCTCTGACTTCTGATGGAGGTACCACAGGGCTGGCTTGCAGCACATGCTCTTGTCACAAGAGGGGCAGGAGGCAGCAGGGATGCTGGTGGTGGCATTCCAGGGCCTGGCCTGGCTGCTGGAAGAGCCAACACACATCTGTCCTTCAGGTTTTCCTGCCGGTGGTGTCCCATATGAATATGTTCCATATTCAGAGGATTGAGTCAGGAAAGACGTACGCTGCTTTGTGGAGTACGATAGATAATAGCTGTTATGTCTGAGCAGCCGGGCACGTGTGCTGGTCTTAACGGCCTGCTGCCTTTTTAGCCCTCTTTTCACTCAGTGGTGATGACGATGTTTCTTTGAGAAAGAAAAAGCTGTTTCTATTAAAACTGATCGTGCGAATGTTTCCCAGGGTAGCTTGTGGGAGCTCAGTGACATGGGGAAATGCTCAAGCTGCGCGGAGGAATGCGTGGCATGGCTGAGTCACCGCGGAGCCGCCGGCTGTGCTCCTCGGCATGGTGGGAAGCGGGAATCCCAGGCAGCCTGACCGCATGCTGACGGATGGGGTCGGCCCATCCGAAAGGAAAAGCAGCAGGTCGAGGAGCGAGCATTGCAGGAGGGTTTGCTGGGCGGCATTTTGCCTGTCTGCTAACGGCCCACGTGGCATTGCAGTGTTCACACCTGCGTGATAGATGGGGCCGTCCGCGTTTTCCCAGCTATGGGTGGGAGCAGGGAGGGGATTTTCAATTAAAGTGTGAATACATTAGGATTGATTACAAATAGAGCTATTTGTTTATGCTGCCTAAAAAAGTACTAGCTGTGAGCATGGTGCGCTTAATCATTGTGGAAGGAAGCCTGAAAGTTAATAAAGCACAGTGCTGATCCTTACAGAGGGATGTGAGCTTTGGGTTAGTTCTGCAGCTATTTTAGTTTTAAAACCATAACTTTTATTTTAAAAGCAAGTATGTTTTGGATTGTAACGTGTTTGAATGATGCAGCTAGGGCCCCGTGTGAGCCATCCCCCACATGGGCACAGAATGCCACCGCAGCGCAGACATGGGTGGTGCTGGAGCAGTAAGTGTGGCCACTGCCAGCACTGTCCTCAAGGCAAGAAACCGGGAGATTTCTGGAAATAAATGCCCTGTTGGTGATCCCATTTCTCAGGTGTGCGTGGGCCCCAGACCCATTGCCAGGTGCCAGTGGGGCCTGTGGTTGTGTGGTGCCATCCACAGGAGCCACAAGCTGTGGCCTGGGAGGATCCGTGGTAGTGCAGTCAAACCTCCCTGTGGCCCTCAAGTGTTGCCAGCTGATGGGGGTGAGTGGTTCTGGGAACAGAACTGGAGAGAAGAAAAGAAGGCTCTGGAAGAGCCTCCTTAAACCTTGGATGTTTTCTGTGCTTCTTAAGCCCCCTGCCAGGAGCTCATTGCCTCCCGGAGGTCTCGCTGGGTCAGTCACTGAAATGGAGGTGAAAGCAAGCCCATAGCAGGTGTGATGCTATCAACAGTGGGACCAGAGCAGCCCCGAAGGAAGGAGCATCGTGCTGCCCTGCAGTAGCACATAGACATGTCAGCCCCTTCTGTCCTCGATCCTTTATACTTCCTGCTACTGCTGATTTTGTTTCCATCGGCCTTCTGTGCCAGATGCCTCCAGCTCTGCTTTGCAGTTGCCCTGGAGCTGCATGTCTGCCACATGGTCTGTAGGATCCTTCCCCGCGTGATGCTTTTGTAGGCAGTGTCTTCTCTGAGTCTGTACTTAAGCATGCAGGGCTATCCGCTGCCAGTCAGTTAGGTCAGCTTTGCATGCTGCCCACGAATCAGCAGCAGTAAAATTAGCATGCTCATTTTAAGAATTTCAAAGAAATAGCTGTTTGCCAAGGGGGATCAGAAATGAGTCCTTCTGTACTGCACTTTGAGGTGGTGTTGAGTGACCTTAAAACACTTAGGTTGAAACTGCGGAGAAATTTGTCCATGAGGAAGATGCCTGGTGCAGTGCATGAGCTGCAGCATCTTATGATGGATATTGCTTTACTCTGGGTCTGCTTGTGTTATATTTGCAGGTTCTCCCCGAAGTGAGTGGAAATTTTGTGCCCATACATCAAGGTTAGGATGAGGCGCTCTCTCTCTGTATGCATGATGTAGATAAATTGCTTGATGACCATGAACCATGCTATTCCAGAGCTAGGCAATAAATCACAGGTTCAGCTTTAAAAAGCACAAACGAGAGCAAGATGCTAACTGGTTTTCAGGTGGGAAATGGTCAACAAAATCCTTTTATTTTCTTTCAAAAATCTGTCCTAACATCAGCAAATCAGATCTGAAAGAAAGAGGGCCCAGTACACAACGTCACTGACATATGGAGGTCTCTCTTCCACTGGCCTCTTTCTCTGCTTTCCTTTGTGCTCTGATTCTGCCACCGACGTTTTGTGGATATTATTGCATTCCGGGATATTATCAGGATTTTACATTTTTAGCTTGCTAATGATAGCTATCATTAGAATACACCAAGAATAAGCCCTGTGACTGGTGTATTCCTGCCCCGGGGGTATTCTATTTTAGGTGTTTATTAAAATTTACTGTCATACAATACAGTGAAAGCAATGAGCCTCAGACCTACAATGTGAAAATGAATTCTTTAAGATGGCATTTATTTTTTTTCCCCTATGTGCTATGTAACTGCTGACTGTCGAGCTGGGACGTGGGTGATTGTCAATGTGGCACACTGAGAAATGATTCCATGCCACTCGCATGGGATGTGTATATATGTGTTTTAACCAAAGTTGAGATACGATTTTAAAGAATGTACTTTGAAGTCTGTTTTGTAGTTTTAATTAATGCAACGAGGGTTTTTATTTTACTCTCAGTGGAGATAATCTTAATCCATTCACAGTGACCTTTTCTTGTGCAAATTAGCTGTACACGCTTGTTTAAGCAAATGGGCCTTTGCAAGATGTCTCTTCTTAAAGACGGGGCTTATAATTGAAAATTGGCTTACTCCCATCTGTCTGGCCTGGGTGAGAATACTAACATAGATCTGGGGTTTTTTATATATAAGTATAATCATATAGAGATAGATAGATACATACATACATATATATATATATATAAACACACTTACACACAAATCCAAAAAACTTGCTGTGCCTGCAGACTATGGTTAAATTAGATTGTTACTGTTAGGAAATGTCAGTGCCACAAGTTACTGCCAAAATCACATCTGTCTCCGGAGTCTAGGAAACCCTTTAGGAGGAAAGGTTATTTAGTCCTGATCCTTTTTTCTCGAACTGGGCATTCCAGCAAGGTCAATGCCATTTGCAGTTCTTCAGGTTTGCCAGAAGTACAATTAGCTAATAACTGGATGGAAACTGTTAGGATTTGATGGGTGTTTTTGGTAAATGGTTTTGAAGTGATTGATGGAGTCGGGAAAATAAACAGAAGAATCTTAAAGTTCTAGTTCAGAGGAGCAGGGGTCATTGCAGCCATGGTTAATTGCCAAAATTTGGCTGCTGAAGCAGTTTATCCCTCCTCCTCCACCACCCTTTACAATAACCACCAAGAGAGTCATTGTAACACTCCCCCTCTTTTAGTGCCTGGTTGATAAGGAAGATTTGTATGGCAGAGTTTGAGTATTTTTTGCTTTGCACAAACTTACTATGCAGGAACGAACACAGTTGTGCATGACTTTGACTAAGTCTGGATAGAAATCAGGTTCACAGGGGTGCTGTGACAATGTCTTTGGTGTTAATGCTTTTAATTCAAGTTTATTGTTAGAATTCATGCACACCTACATACGTAGATACTGCGTAATTTTTCCACAAGCAAGATTGTTTCCTTGGTTCTGTGTCCCTACTGCTCTGTAGTGTTCTCCCATGGTGGCTGCTCCTTGAGGCTGAGAAGAGTGAGTGAGAAGGTCACATGTGTGTGCACGCATGCACGCAGGGAGCTAGTTAACCTGGAGGTGGGCTCCTGGGGCAGAGATGATTTTATCCAGATGTGCCTCAACAGCTGTTTGCATTTTCATGCCCAGTTACTCTAGGACTCACCGCTAATTCAATTTTCTCTTTTCTCTCCTGTTCTTGTTAGGTATGATTACCGTGAAATGCTGCACAATGCCACTTTCTGTCTGGTTCCCCGTGGCCGCAGGCTTGGCTCTTTCAGGTTTCTAGAAGCCTTGCAGGTAAGAGCTACAGCATAAAGCATTGGTTTCGCTGGCTGCAATTTGACATGCAATCGCAGGGGGTGGGGAGGAGGGAAATGTCTTTCATTTCCCTCATGGACAGTAATCCACTTTGCGAAAGACTCTATTCATACTTCTGGAGCAATTGGCAGCTTCTTCCCAGGAGGGGCTGAGCACAGCGTTCATCTGAAGGTTGAATTGCATTACCTCCAGGAAAAAGGTTTCCCTGAATATGGCGAAGCTGAAAGGTTGGACCAGCTTAGAGCCGTATTTTATAAAGCTGTGAGACTTCCCATGGGGACAGTGACCTCTGCAAATAAGCCTTGGGGTAGTAAAATAGCTCTTCTTTGTCACTTAGCCAAAACAGACTTGCTCCTGCATCGGCTTTCATTGCTGCTTGCTGAGCATTCTGAAGGTGGTCTGGAGGTTGTAGAGCTCCAGATGGAATCATCATGAAGAGATGGATGTAGACTGATCTTGGGGAGTTTGCAGCATGTTTTGGACAGCACCCAAATCCTTTTCACCTTCTAAAAGCATTTTTGGTTCATAGTCTTCCTTTTTTACTGTTGACCAGCAGAAGAGGGCAATGCAGTGAGGCTCTTTGAGTCTCTGTGGCAACCAGGTTCAGCAGTGTGATGATCAGGTTTCTGTCTCCAGGCTGACTGACACTGACCTACGCTGGATGCAGACAGTGTGACTTTTTTTTTTGCAAGCATCAGCTCATCCCTGGGGTCCTAAGCTTCGTCAATTGTACAGATGCTGCAGCGCCCCTCTGGGATTTGCATCTGTATTTCCTGCTTGTAGGAGCCAGAGTGAAAGGCACTTTTTGCTAGCGGAAGGCTGGGGCATTTCTTGATGTCAGAGAGGAGGCAGATGAGGACACTGTAGAGGATCCTGGCTTTAGGCACTGTTTTGCCATTTGAGAAGTGTCCTGGAGTTGGCAATAGAGCTATTAGTGGATAGCATCACAACAGTTCTCTTAGAATCATAGACTCCTAGAATCGTTTGAGTTGGAAGGCACGCTAAAAGGCCATCTAGTCCACCTCCCCTGCAATGAACAGGGACATCTACAGCTAGAGCAGGGTGCTCAGAGCCCCATCCTACCTGACCTTGAATGTCTGCAGGGATGGGGCATCTGCCACATCTCCGGGCAAGCTGTTCCAGTGCTTCACCACTATTACTGTAAAAAACTTTGTCCTTATATCCAGCTTAATCTCCCTTCTTTTAGCTTAAAACCATCTCCCCTTGTCCTATCACAACAGACCTGTTCATTAACCACAAAGCATTCCAGTTGCTATCACAGATTACTGTTTATCATAATGAAGAGCAGCGTTCAGGTACCGAAGTGTAGGTGTATGATGTTATATTTGAAGCCCAGCAGCACCCTTTTGACTTCTGCTGCTTCTCCTGAAGGATTCAGATCTCCCATTAGGTGTTTTCATGTCTGCCAACCTTGGGTGAGTGTCTTGGATATCCTAGAGCATCTTGAAAGCACTGAACACTTACATTTAGTCTACGAATCAACACATGCTAACCTACAAGAGATCCAGGACTGTCATTTTCCTCTTTGCTCTACTCAGGTGAAGTTAAATAGCCCTCACAGAATCATAGGATCATAGAATGGCATGGGTTGGAGGGGACCTCAAAGATTACCCCTGCCACAGGCAGGGCCATCAACCTCCAGATCTGGTACTAAACCAGGTTGCCCTAGGCCCCATCCAACCTGGTCTTGAACACTTCCAGGGACAGGGCATCCAAAGCTTGTCTGGGCAGCCTGTTCCAGCGCCTTACAGCTCTCTCTGTGAATAACTTCCCCCTGATATCAAGTCTAAACCTTCCTCCTTCAGTTTAAAACCATTCTCCCTTATCCTATCACTGTCTACCCAAGTAAAAAGTTGAGTACCCTGTTTGTAGGCTCTCTTTAGGTACTGGAAGGCTGCAGTGGGGTTACCCCACAGCTTTCTCTTCTCCAGTTTGAACAAGCCCAGCTCCCTCAGCCTGTCTTCATAGGGGAGGTAGGGAGCTCTCAAAGTGCTGTTCTGTCTCCAGCCTCTTTGGTGAGAGCAGTCAGATTGGTTTCTTTGGGATGACAAGTGGCTTCAGAAACTTCTGAAAAACGCTGCTTAGCGTTTTTCTTGAGTGGGCCACAAGTCATGCAGCTCTTGTTAGATAAATCTTCTCAAGAGAAGAAAGCAGAGAGCATACCTCGCTGTTCAGAACTTGGAGGCTTCAGATCGGCCAAGATAAAATGCAGGCACTGAGGATTTTCCTGCCAGAGTAGCAGCAGTATACACTGATTATGATGAATTCCCAATTTCTGTCTGGCTCCAGGGCATGTTAAAAAACATAATCCACATTAGTGAAATGTTTTAAACATGAAAACACATTGCTAAGTGTTTTCTGGTTGGCTTTTTTTCATGCACTAATGTCGTTTCCTCACAGAAGATAACAGTTCTTTACACATTGTAAGCACTGCTGTAATGCAGATATGCGGCTAGTCTAAGATCCTCTATGTATGTTAAAAAGGAAGGTACAGCAGCCTGTGAAGTTGCCCTTTATGCCATTCTTCAGAAGGTACAGGGGGACAGACCTCAGTATGGACCATATTCAGAGCTCACAATCTTGGCTTTATCCAAAGAAAATGAACCAAAGCACAGGCTAATGCAGATCCTCCAGTAACAGGTTGTTCCATCACTTCAGCAGGCTTTTGGCTGGGATCTTACATTGTCATCCAGCTATAGGGAATGTCGTAGTGATCGTTTATTTATGGACACATGGCGCTATTTACCAAATATTTGCAAACTTGCTCTCAGTGTAGAGGACTTTACACAACTCATAAAAGATAAAGTAATTTAGATAAACCATACTGATTAGAAATAAATACTAAACTTACATGCTTTTTGTTTGTTTTAAGACCAAAAGCAATTATTGTTTTTATAGGCAGATAATGAAAGATGAGCTGTGTTTGTGCAGTCACTTCTGTTCAGAGAGCTGTTATCAAGCAGGATGGGGAATTCGCTCCTCCTAGATGGAAGAAGTGCTCAGGAATTACATACAAGGGATGCTCCAAAAGCAATGCCTCCTATCCTATGATGTTGGCCCCTGACGTCAGAGGCAAATGGTGGTGGTATAGCAGTAGAGTGCGAACCTTCCTGCCTGTACTCAGTTACATGTTGTTACCGTGTGACAGATGACAGCTGAGGGGCAGTTTGACAAAATGGCATCTGACATGGAAATGCATATGAAGCGAAGGGGTGGAATTGAATTCTTCCATGTGGAAAAAATGGCACCCAGTGACATTCGTCGACACTTGCTGAACATTTATGGAGACCAAACAGTGGATGTGAGCGCAGGGGGGCAGTGGCTGGTGCATTCCAGCAGTGCTGACAGTGACAGTGGGTCACTTCCACTGGTGTAGATTTCTAGAAGCGTGGCATGCAGGCTCTTGTTCATCGCTGGCAAAAATGCATAGCTAATGGTGGTGATCTTGTTGAAAAATAGTGTCTTGTAGCTGAGAATTTGTTCTATCAAGTAGTGTTACTATGTTCTCTGTATCTGCTGTAGTTTTCATGGAAATATACAGGAGGCATTACTTTCGGAGTGACCTGCGTATTATGTGTACTTTCTGTAGGGCTGTCTCACAAGGTATTATGAAACTTGAGGGAGCTAGGTCCCTGCTGAATTCTTCACAAAGCCATTGAAGGCTGTTGGTTTGTATTAAATCCTCTGGGGTTATGTTTGCAGAATTTTAACAGCTTTGCCCTCAGCTGTTAGCATAAGCACCGCATTTCAAAATCACACTCTACATGCCAGCTCCACTTTTGCTTAACTTGAATAATCCCAAAAAGGAAAAACATGGGAATGTGGGATATGATCTGATTTCTTCACCTTGTTGCCTTGCCTTCTGACAACCTTGCATGAGTGTTGGGAAGAAACCATGAAGAAAACAGTAATTGCACTTGGGCTTGTGCTAATTGTTGGCTGGGCTGGGTTACACCTGCTAACAAGTGCAGTGGTTCTGTGCAGGCTGCCTGTGTGCCCGTGATGCTCAGCAATGGATGGGAACTGCCATTCTCAGAAGTGATTGATTGGAAGCAGGCTGCCGTCATCGGGGATGAGAGGTTGCTATTACAGGTAAGAAAAAGACGGCGACCATCAGCAGATGAGTTGATTGTTGTCTGCTGCCGCCTAAACGGACAAGGAAGATGAATCCAAAAGGTCAGAGCTGTAAAAGAATTTTTATCATGAAGGGACTGTCTGTGTCACGCCAGCGATGAACTCATTTAATATGACATCATTCGTATTCTGACCTGAAGGTCATGCAGCCAGTAGGCCACATGCTTGAACGCAGGAGGCTTTTTTATTTTGCCTAAGAGCTTGACATTTTCTCTGGTGGATGCCTCTCCCAAGCAGGGCTGTCTGGAACTGGAACTGTGGGGAAGGAGAAGAAGCTGAAGGCAGTTCCTGCTCTCCTTCAGAAAGAGCTGGACCTCGGGGCTCCGCCAGTGCTGCGGGAATGGCTGGCAGGCCTGAAGGCCTCCTGAGCAAAGCCGTCTCTCAGGCCAGAGTTAATACCTGACAGTTTTGTGGGAAGGAGATCCTGAGTCTTTTTGACGTCCGGAACATGCAGCACTTCTTTCTGAAGCAGTGCTCACATCCTTCATTGTTAATCTCCCCAAGATCATGGAATAGAAGTGAGCTGAGAAACTAGAAATGCCCTGTTACCTTCAGCATCTGCTTTTGTCTTTAAATCTACTAGGTGTTTGTTTCTGTTTCCCTGGTGGACACTGTAGTCTTTCAAAATTCTTTATAGATTTTTAAAGAATGTTGAGAAGTTGATATTTGGAAAAGTTCTTGAAAAAATGCTTTCCTCACAGCAGCGTTTGTTGGAACACCATTGCTCAGCCCAAAGCTGAGACCTACGAGATCTGCAGTAGCCACTGTGCGTCTCGTATGTAGTCATTCTGCATCAGTAGCACTGATGTTCTTCCTGACCTCTTGAAAATGTATTAATGAGGACAAGACAACATTTAGAACTCTTTTTCCAAAACGTGGATTTTGCAGCTTTGGGGTAGAGTGTGCTGTTTGCAGAGCACATAGCGCAATAGCGCACGCTGGCTTGTCCCATGGGAAGAAGGGTTCTGTTATTATTAATTCATTTCCGGAGTGGTGAGCTGTTTCCATCTGTGGAGAGGAGTGTTCAGAGGTGCAGGGGGGTTGTCACCCAGAAATTGAAGTACCTTTAAAAATCTCATTAGATGCCTACTTACTTGTCTGAAGATGTAAATATTTGTAAAGAGCTGGCCTAGCAAGCCTTGTGAAGGACTGCCTGTTGTCGATAATGAGACACAAACTGCAACCCAGAGAGAGATGTTTGGATTTTGCTTCAGTGGACAGTGTTTTTTTTTCTGAGCAAAATTATTTCTCTCTTTAAATGATAATAATTTGCTGATCTTCATGCTTTCCGGTAACATGCCATTCACTCTCCTCACAGCTGCTTCCATATTGAACAGCTACTGCACCATTATTAACACTGTTTTTAAGAGCTGGCAGAGGGCCTGAATGTCTGCTCTGGGAAATGTTTTTGTTATGTTACAGTTTTTCATTTCCTGTTTTAGAGCAGCTCGGATGTTTTTATTTGCATATTCTCCTCATCATAGCACTAGGAGAATTTAATCCAGCCTTTCTGCATTTATTTTTGCAAGGTGGTTGTTCCCTTCCCCCGACTTACTACTGAAATGACCTTTTATTAAGACGTCATCCAGTTCTAGTAATTCCAGTGTAATCCTGCCAGATTAGTATTAATACATCATTTTCCCCACCTGTCTATCTGGACAAGTAGATTAATAACTAATAAGCAAATGCAGTTAAAATGGGAGCTCAGATTTTCCTTTCCAGCTGTTGCAAGAAAGTGGGCACCAAGGCTTTTTTTTAACCTTGGCACTGGCATTGCCCGACTGCAAGCATAGGCTGGTCTGTGAAACCCTGACTTCTTGCAGTGCCCTTCTTAGGCACAGTGGCCTTCACATTCAGGGGTATGGTGGTGAATGGATATCGATTTCTTCTCTTGCTCTCACCTGTATTTATGCACATGTGAGGCTATGAATAATGCGATTGAATGTTTTAAGTTTTTAGAAAGAGGTGCTGTATTGCACCTGTGAAGTGGCTTTAATTGTATGATTGTTTTTGGTAATCATGGGTGTGATTAATATGTATGTGTGGGTAGCCAGTATAGACTCACAGACTCATAGAATCATAGAATGGCCTGGGTTGAAAAGGACCCCAAAGATCATCTCGATTCAACCCCTCTGCCACGGGCAGGGTTGCCAACCACTAGACCAGGCTGCCCAGAGCCACTATGTTCATTAACCCAGTACTTACTGGAATTTACTGAAAAAGTAATGAAGACAAAGAATATTCCCCTCCCTGAATAAAATTAGGTGCAGTTAAACACCATTCTGCAACAGCAACGTGGTTGGTTAAAAAAACATGTACGAAAGCCTGGGTTTGGCTTCAGTTGACTACAGTCATTCCTCTTGACTACAGTCATTACTTTCTTGGAAGCTCAAATTTCTTACTATATATAACTGTGTCTTTAGCAGAGTCAAGATTATTGCATCTGACACTGCACTGTGGACCCACTCTCTTTTGGGATGCTCTGTCTAGACCTGAATGCAAGCAATGCAGCGAAAAACATACTGATTCTTGTGGAAAATGCATTACATGCAAATTCTTAACAACTCCAATTAAATGTGTAATAGGAAATTGTTTGATTGAAGAGCACATGAAACCAAATAACAATCATTTCCACCTCTCAGAATGTTCTAGGAATAAGCGAAGTGTTTTTGGCCAGGGAAGGGTGGATGTGTTGGGATGCAGTTAAATTTCAGAGTGAGCTGGGATGTGCAAAGAGCATCACACAGCCGAGGCATATACTTCTGCAGCTCACGACTGAGCTGAAAGCTCTGTGAAAAATGGCTGTCTGAAAGTGACCTAATTCGAAATCACAAAGAGAGTAGGTGCAAAGGCACAGCTCCTCATTCCTGAAAGAAATGAGCACAGATGTGCAAAATATCTTAGAGGCCTTTCCAGTGCTGTGAGTAGCCCTTGTAATTGAAGCAAATTGCAGTTAAATTCCCTTGATAATGTCAATTTGCGTTGTCAAAGTAGCGTACTGGAGGCCGTGGTCAAGGTCCTAAGAAGTTAACCAGTGGCATGTATGCTTGTTAGCTTCCCTCCAGTGTGGAAGAGGGATGTGGGGATGGAGGTAGAAGGGAAGCCCTTTTGTGATCCAGCCAGCAGTCCCGATTTTCAATCACAAGTCACTGCAGCAGGACAAATGGGGTTTTCTTTGTAAGGCAACTTAAAATGTTGCTTTAATGGAGAAGGGAAAAAGAAAGCAGTGTTTTCCCTTGTGAATACCAGGTGTTGTGAGAGGCATTACTCTTTCCTCCCACAATAATGAGTAAAATGCAATTCGATCCACAGGTTCCCAAAAAGTGGAGTCTTGCTTCAGACGTCGCTGTGTTTTCCTCAGGGCACTTAGTATTGCCATGCTGTGTAAATGCAATTCCAGATCCCTTTAATATACTCTGAGAGTGGGGATTATCGTTGGACCCAGAGTCCTGCAGGTTCCAGTCTGCTGAACTGCCAGTCCATGAAAAGCTGTGTGTGAGGGATTTATGGAGGAGCTGCTCACTGTGACACAGCGCGGTGCTGCGGAGTGACGGGGAGAGGAAATTTTTGCTTCCATAGAAACAACCAAAAACTGAGAGAAGGCAAATTAAAAAAAGAAAATCATATATTCTAGTGTGCCAATAGCAAAGGTTGTAAAGGGCTGTGTCTCATCTGTATCTCCATCAGGGCTCTAACTGTTGGCACACACATCCTGTTGGATAGGAGCGCTGAAGCTGTGCAGCTTGCTAATAGAGGAGAGGGCTTGTCAGCAGCATATTAATTTGATGAGACTGCGTTGTTTTCTGAAGCTTCTGACTATATTACATCTTGTATTACAGATTCCTTCTACAATCAGGTCTATCCATCAGGATAAAATCCTAGCACTTAGACAGCAGACACAGTTCTTGTGGGAGGCTTATTTTTCTTCAGTTGAGAAGATTGTATTGACTACACTAGAGGTGAGTAAAAGCCGTCTGGGATCGTGCAGAGCAGCGAGGTTTCCTTAGCCATCCGGCTGCTCCAGTGCTCAGCCAGCATCAGACCTTGGGTTTCATGACATGCAATTGGTCACTGGGGGAAACACTCAGTGTCTTGCTAAGTTTTCTTCCCTAAGGAAATGCTTCCTTCGTTGTTGGTATCCACATTAGAGAGCTGACATGGTGAAGAATGGGAGCTGTCTAACACAACGAAAAGTTGTCATGTGTGATCTTGCCTTCACAAGGCTTTATGGCTTACGAATCACTGTCCTTGTCATTGGTAGTAGATATGTTTTTTAAAGAAAACTTTCTAGAATTCATTCCAGAAAAAATAGGCTGTGAAGCTTCTTGACCATTTCATAGACCACTGATGTCTTGTGATGGGGCTGTCAGTCTGGCTGAAGGAAAATAGGGGCTGGTAAGTTACTGTGTTTTATCTTCACACACAGAATAAGGGAAGGGTTTCTATAAAATATTAATAAATAATCATAATTAGACTGCTATTAAACAGGGAGACAGATGATCTAGAATGTGGAGAGAATCCTTTCTGAATTCAAGGGACACAGGAAAGATAAAAGGCTCTTTAGAAGTAGGACCCAGGCTACAATTTCAAAAGCAGTTTTCTCTTCTAATTGTTTTGCAATTTTGCACTAAATTTTTTTACACACAGTTACCACTGAAAGGGGCTTGCTTTGTAGGTGCCAGCGTATTCATCTTAGGCTAATTCTTCTTCATTTGCAGCCCTCTTTGTGCAGGGTTGTAAAGTCCCCCTTTTCCTTGCGGAGTGTGAAGGAGGGCTGCTGCCCATGCTTTGTCGGTGGAGGTTGCCCATGGCAGACTCACTTCCAGCTGCTACAAGACAGTCATTTAGATTTTCCTGTGCTGCTAGAAAATCAGCCAGGGAACATTTATGGAGCCCATGGCATAGGTGTTCTTGTCCCCCCATGGCTTCATCCATGCTGCCTAATGAAAACAGCTCTTCACCTTTAGTCTCTCCACGAGTGCTGATGAAGTAGTGGTAATGATCACCGCCCACAATAAGGTCAGATTAGCAAAGCTGGAAGACCACATGACAGCTCTTGGAGTCTAATTCACTCTTAAAGTACCCCTAGAGACAACCAAGTGTCCGTCATCTGCCCCTTCCCTTTGTACACCCCACTAAGGATTGCTAAAAGGAGAAGGCTGCACAGCTCTCCTCACTGCCCCTCTCCTTGTGCTGGGCTGATCCCAAGAGACAGCCCCCATGGCCTTGGTATCCATCACATCACGCTCCAGTACACACAGATGTGATTTTAAGTCTGCCTGGACCAGCTACAACATTGACCCACATAGGTGCTCAGGGGACAGGAACACCTGTAATAAAGCTCTAGCAGCTAGATATGCAACAAGCTGGAGCTCCTGCTCGGAGGCAAAAAAAGAGGAAAAGAAAAACAGAAATCTTCCTGCAAGGTTTAATTTAATGGAACCAAATAAGGTACACTTGGTGTTGAAGTTGTTTTCTGGGATTTTCCATTTGTTTGCAAGGGTGGTTTTGCCTTGAGAACCTTAGGTTTTTGTTTTGTTTTATTCAAGATTCTTAAAATTTGTAAAGAAAGCTACAAGGAATTTTGTTTGTATGAACAGATACTCATTTCACATTGTCCAGAGTTAATTTTCTTTAGAAAAGGGGTAAACAGCTAAGAGAGTGATTTTTGCTGTCCGAAATCTGCAAGCAATATATGCCTTTTTTAAAACCTAAGTCTTAAATTCCTGGCAAGAATATTTTTTTTCGGGCTTATGTTATCCATCTTCTCTTGCAATATTGGGGTGTTAGAGTGCTCTGATGATAACCTGCAGCTTGCTTCAATGCTGTGCCAATATCCAGATATGTGGTTATCAGTGTAGCAAAAGCCTTCATCAGATCAGGTGTCCGCAAGGATATCTGCCTTGTATCCTGGATACCTGTGGAAACATGAGATGACATCTTCAGGTCCTTGACCTTTTCACAGCATTTAGTAACCTGAGCCAAACAGCTCATAGCCCAAAATGGGAGGTTAGAAGTGTTTGGCCAGTAAGCCCTCCTGCAGGTCCAGAGGAGCTGCCTGGTGCCATTCACATGGTGTGGGTTATGAGATGGGCATTCATGTGGGTCTGTTCTAGCAGCAGCACCATCCATACACATGTGCCAGTGAATCTGCACTTTTTCAGCTTGGTCTTCCGTGAAAACAAGCCCCAGATACACACACCTAAGTACCTGTGCAGCATGCTCAGTGCTCTGCTCAGGAAGAGAGAGGAGGGGAGAGGACAGCACAGAGGGCATGCAAGAAGTGTGTGGTGCTTGGCTGAGGCATATTAGGAAGAGGCAATGATTAAGGTGGTATATGAACTTTTGGAAATATGAAGGTGAGGGAGACAAAAATATTGGATTATTAATGAATTTAAAAAAAATTAAGAAGGGAGCTCTGTATGGAGTTCATAACACCTTCCTTCTCTTATTAAACTTCCTGTCATGCCTCACCGCTGGAGACACTGTATAGCTGCTGTCTGTCCCTGCAACGTGGGTAATACTGTGCACTCTGAATTCTAATTGATCGATCCCCCATGTGATCTTTTTTTTATACACTTCTGCTCTCTTTCTGCCAAGTTGCCTTTTCTCCCCTCTATCACTGCAGACAGCTAGATTTCTTACGTAGACCAGGAGTGTGATAAATTAATCCCCGTCGGTGAGCCGTGATGTATGGTGCAGGTCAGCTCCCGTGGCCGGGAGATTTGTATGCGTGCTGTGCACCGAGGGCCACGTACCCTGCGTGGCAGCAGGGTCTGCTCAGCGTTAGAGCTGCTCACGCTCCGGGTGCGCTGAGGCAGGGCTGAATGCGAGCCATGTGTTTCCCCTGCAGCCTTGTTGGCTACCAGCTCAATGGAAATCTCCGCCGTCTGTGAAAACCTCCTGACCGTGTAAATTCGCAGACTTCCCTTATCTGATTATGCTCCTGTTCTGAGAAAAGAGGAGGAAGGAGCTGCAGTATTTAGGCTTCGTGGTAAACACTCGAAAATAAGTGCTTTCTAGGTTCTGTCTTTGTTCAGGGGTATAACTTGCAGATGGGGAAACAGCAGTCAATTTCTTTTCTCCCTCACTGCTCCCACCACATAGGAGGTCTGACAACTGATACACCTCACTTTCCAAATAGCCAGATCCGCTCCTGTCAGTGATGGAAATATGGTCATTAAGACTGTTATTCCCACACAAAAATAAGTTAAATTAACTTAGACATGTCAGCAAATTGCTGCATGTTAGTAATGCTAGTTGACTGTAGGCAAAATCAAGACAAGCATACAAACGCCTGACATTTGCCCCGAGTTAACTGTGCCTACATGGCCACCAGCAGTGGATTGTCTAGCACAAGGTAACTAATGCTTGAATTTATTTTATTTTATTTTTGTTATGGCAATCAAGAATTCCAGGGAGATGCTTGATCATGTTCTGTACTCACCAAATGTCCTTGAACTCAATTGCTTGCAGAAATTTCTAGATTGCTTAGACTGGAGCAGCTGCTTTTCTTTGGCTTTTGTTATTTGAGGTCTTTTTGCTTGCTTTTGTTTTTCCTATGCTGTAGATATAGACCTTCTTTAGTGTCATAGACTGTAAGGCCAGAATGGACCTAGGGATCGGATTTGCTCCAGAGCCACAGGGTTTCACCCCAATAAGCCCAGGTAAAGGCCAAAGAGAACCAACATGTTGCTGGCATTTGAGCCCTGTGCAGTGCATAAACCACCAATTCCATGAAATCTCCTTAGGAGATCCCAGAAGATGAGCTGCAGAAGGAGGCAAGGAAATCTCGCTTAGCTGTCTTAGCAGAGGATTCTCCCTTCAGCATCCCCCAGCCCCTTCCAATATCCTGTTGCCAGACCTGCCAATCTCTCGTGTTTCCAAGGAAGACAAATCTGTAAGAACCCAACAGCAGTGTGGCCCAACAGCAGATTGTACTTAGAAGATTGTGTCATCTTGGGCTGCTGAATTTGTCTAGTTTTAACTTCTCACTGCTGAATGTTGTTATGCCTTTGCAGCAAGTTTGGGAAAGCTCTTGTTGGTGTAAGAACCAGACTGGTTCTTACATAGTGGCAACTGATCTGAAGTAGCTGCAATTAGTTTTACAAATACAAATTAATTCTATGGCTGTGTATCTTTCTTGTGGTCTGTGGTATTCCAGATGATAAAGTAGATGACCTATCAAACTGGTCTGCCCTTAAAAGTCTGGGAATCTGTGTTTGTGGCCCTCCACAAAGATAGACAGCAGAGTTGCTAAAAGATCTTCTTTTTCAGCCAAGGAGCTGTTGCTGAACTGAGACGTAGAATCAGTGATGTATCTGAATACTAATAACCCTTTATAATAAGCAAAAATGAATAATTAGTGCAGCTTGATTTGCTGAAAGTCTTTGTGGTTTTGAATGCTCTTGTTATCTCAAAATAATACCTCGCTTTGTAATGCCATCCTAAAATAATTATCTTGTGTGAGTTCTGGATAGTAAAACTGACAATGCACTAATCAGGCATACTACCACTAACTCACTCTAATAGATGAAACGACTGACTTTAAATACAGAAGGCAGTGAATTGAAGGTCCCCACATCCACAGAGAGTAATGAGGTGCTCTGAAGCCTACTGCACAAAGCCTGAGCTGCTGGAGTGGCATTGCAGTATACTGGTCATTTTGAGAGAGATTAAGCAGGAATGTCTCGGAATTTGTGTGACTCAGCTTTCTGCAAACTGAATGATGATTCCAGTCATTTGGTGTCCCTGAAGCTTCTACCAGTGGCTATTAGAGTCTGTTAATAGTCATTGCCTCTCTTGTTTTCCAGATTATTCAGGACAGAATATTTAAGCACATATCACGTAACAGCTTAATATGGAACAAACATCCTGGAGGGTTATTTGTACTGCCACAGTATTCCTCATATCTGGGAGATTTTCCTTACTACTATGCTAATCTCGGTGAGTGAGCTCTTCCTACACTGCAGTGGTATCGGGAATATCATTGATTCTTGAATAGGATGTGCCAGGTGACTTACCATTCATATCTAGTTAATGATGCTTCCTCTTTCCATTCCCTGCTCACTGCAGACTGGAATGTCTCTGACTCATTCATCAACATGCATCATGTGCCTCTCGCTTGCAAATATTGTTTTGAAAAAAAATTGGGTCCCTTCATACTTTTCAGTTGCCGGTAATTAATGCCTGAGTTACTGACCCGTTCGTGGCCCAAGGGGACATAAGAAGGATAGGTTTTTTTTGCTTACTTTGTTTATTTGTGTTTGGCAAATTGGAAAAGTGGTAATTTACCCATGACACTTATAATTGGAGTGCATAGTGGGTATGGATTTATTCTCCATACTCTGTGTCCTCTTACAGATTCCAGTAGAGGGAATGAATAGAAGTTAGGTCCGTGGCTTTTTCTGAAACAGATTCAGTGATGAATTCTGGGGGGGGGGGGTGTCTGCAATCTGAAGTGATCGTGCTTATGAGACTGCTTCCACTTTTGGCACAGGCTGTGCCATCCCACTTGTGTGATCTGTGCTGCCCACCTGCTAAAAATTCACAGTTACCGTGATAAAGAAGGAGAAGAAGAAGGTTTCTGTGGGAATTTTAATGAAAAAGGACTATGACCCCACACAGATGAGTGTGGATAAGACTGAGAGCAGTAATGAAGGGCAGAAGCCAGTACGACCTGTTATTTCGGGCAGGAAAGTAAATCACAGCAAGACAAAAATATCAGAATTGAAAGGCAAGGATGTAAATAGAATTGTCAGCTCAGGAGGTAACTGAAGATGCATGTGGGTGGGGATTGATCCAGAAAGAGCAAAAGCCTTACAGCAGCTGTAATAGAACTAAGGAAACAGAACATAGTTCCGGAAGTCAGGGATGTACCTGTAGAAAATGTCATGCATTCAGAGCCGGGCAGCAAAACCAGACAGCCGATGTCAAGAAATTTCATTGAGCAAACTAGGTATTACCTGTGGGGCAAAATGGATGAAGGAAAGAAATCACAGGACATCTGTGGAAATAACAAGAGAAGGCAGTAACTGTATTGGAGTCAGGTGTTTCAGAGGAGGTGGGAGTGAAGTGTCATCTCTGATCCATGACTTAAAGAGATGACCTAAAAGATTGGGAAGGCTTGCGTTAAGCACGGGTTGTTTTACCATCTCCAAGTCCTTTAATCTCTACTAAATGGGGCAATTTTGTCTTTACTGAATGCATATCTGTTTGCTTCAGGTCTGAAGCCTCTCCCCACATTCACTGCCGTTATCCATGCAGTAACTCCTCTGGTTTCCCAATCTCAGCCTGTGCTGAAACTCCTGGTTGCTGTAGCCAAGTCCCAGTACTGTGCACAGGTAAGCAGCACTGTTTGTCAGTCACGTTGGAGACAGAACTACTGTCCCAGGAGTGAAGAGCCTATTGATTTCAGGTCTTCTCAGTCTACATTCAAACCCTTGTTTCTGTTCTCGTGTTTCCTTTCTCTGAGATGTCTAGTGTCTGTGACTTGCATGCATGGGAAACAAAAGTTCTGAGTATGATGTGGTTGGAACAGAGACAATAATGAAACCCCTTTGTTTCAGGAGACAGGTAGAACAATGATTGCACTTTGAAGATCAGGTTTGTGTATGCTGCAAACTGCAAAAGGATGTCTGTGTCTCAAGAGTCTCTACATGATTACCTTTCCTCCTACTGTGGCTCTTAGACTCAGCAGTGCCAAGATTTTAGCTCCTCTAACAGAAACCTCAAGGAGTTCAGTGGGAGCACCCTCTTACAATGGAGAATCACAAGTATTTTAGCCAAAGTAAATCAGTGACATCCATGTGACCTGGCTTAAACTGTGACTTCCTGAGTTCTTGTTCAGCTTACATTTACTTGAGAGGATGTATATAATTAGGATGAATGAAATTACTGTAGGAAATGTTGTTTTTATACAGATTTGTATCATTCTTGTTAGTGTGTGTGTTCTTAGCAGTGTGTGATCGTGGTCCAATATTCTCTTTCAGATTATTGTTTTATGGAATTGTGATAAACCCCTCCCAGCCAAACACCGCTGGCCTGCCACTTCTGTGCCTGTCATAGTCATTGAAGGAGAGAGCAAGGTAAGTGGACAGAAGCATCATAAAAGATTGCATATTTTCTCTGATGGGACCCAAAATTTATTTTTCCAGCTGCTTTGATGAAAGCTTTCCCAACTCCACGCCAGTCCTTTTCTGTTCCTTGGCCTCTTGTGTCAGCTTGGTCACAGAGTCATATTTCATGCACATGGCCGTGCTCTCAGAAATCCTCAGCCTGGCAATCAATGCCAGCAGCCTGAGACTCATAGGTGGGGTCCTATTTTGAAATGTGGTTCTGAGAGTGGGTAGTTCTGACCTTACCTTTGAAGATTACTCCCTGCAGATGCATGGAAGTGGTGATGCAGCTGGATTCACTGAGTTCTAGCAGTCAGAGGCAAGGCTTGGGGATCAGCTACAGACTCAAAAACAGAGGAAAAGATGAGAGTGAATAGCACTAACCCACCTTTGAAAAGTACCTTCTTTCATGGCCATGTAGGATACTTCTGTCAGCAAGGGGATCCCACCATGAAACAAAGGAAGGGACAAGGGCTGCTTTCTTGGAAATGAAACCACTGTGTCATCTCCTGTTGTGCAACAGACTTGTTTGTTTGCAATTCCACAGAGCTGAAACAGACAGCACTCAAATTAGAAAAGAGGCTTCTTTTAAAAATCCGCAGTGAAGTGGATGATTCCTCTCCAAAGTCAGGCCTGAGAAAAGCAGGGCTGCTTCTGTGGGCTCCTGGGCTCTGAGTGACACACACGTGGGCTGGTCCCCTTTCCGTCTCTATTATCTGGCTCTCAAGCTCTGCATTTGCAAACAGAACTTTCAGCTGCTTTGGCTGTACAGTCCTGTTTAGAATTCATGTTTGTATCTTCGGTCTTTTGCCCCAATCACCTTAACAAGGAGAGAAACAAGGGCCCTGCAAAGTTTTCATCTAATGGCATGTGCCTTTAGCTAGCCTTATATATGTATCAGGAGAGTTGCTGCAGGACTGAGAAAGGCTGTAGTGGTTTTTGAGCCTTTGCATGTTTTTTTTCCTTTCTGGAAAGCTTGCAGAGGTGAGATAGAGGAGAAGACCTTTGACCAGTTCCTCTGCGTTTGTCAAAATTGGCCCGGGCACTGTTTAGATTACAAATGAGTCTCCTGAGTACACAAAGGTGTGTTTGTAGTGGACAGTCTCATCTCTTTTAATATCCCAATGTACGCCAATGGCTTCTTGTGCAGAAAAGCTGCTTGTTTGGACAAAGTGTGCAGAGCCAGAGCCGTCCAGTTCAGAGGTTGTACAAAGGAGCTGCTTTTTTCATCTTCAGGCTTGACGGAAGCATACTGGCAGGCACAGTCACTATGTGCAGGGGATTGCAGAGGTCTGCCTTTACCTAACCTGCACTCCTGTCCTTAAAATCAAGATATATTATCGCATGCATTTTACAACAGAGAGCTTTAACTACTAAAAAAACAGCTGGGTAATTCTGTCTGTTTTCCATGGTCTATAAATGAATAGGATGAGAGTCTTGATCTCCCGATGACCTCTTGTTCTGCTTTGCCTCTGCATAAGCAAAGCAAAACTGCCAGCACCTGCCAGCTCACCTCTCCCTCACAGCCATGGCCTTCCAGGAGTGAGGCCCATCACAGCAGTGAAGAGATGCTCTCCGGACAGACACTGTGAACCTCCTGACATGGAAGGCAGAGCCCTCTCTGAATCGAGGCATAGATTTAGGATACTGCTTCTGAACAGGCTGCAAGGGACACAGTACTGACCACGACCATAATGTACTACATGCAAAACTCCACTGTGTCCTTGATTCCAGAAAGCGATCTCTCCCAAGAAGACCTGCTTTTTGTAGTTATTTCTTGGCATAATAAGCTTGAAAGGAAGTCTATTATATACCCAGGCTATTTTTCTTAGCAAATGAGGGAAACAAATAGCATCGTGTCCTTATTACCACTCATCAGTTCTCAGAAGGTGCTGATTAGTCTTGTAAAGAAACCGTATGGATTCTCATCTCTTGCTGTTACCTTTTTGATTTCACTTTCCCATCCATTTCCTATTTCAGTGAGAACTATCCTGCCATGCTTTAAAAAAAGACATTCTGCATATAGATTTTATATGTATATAGCTGTGTCACTTAAAAATGTGACTTTTAGACATGCTACACTGTCAACATAATTCTTGCTGCAAACAAAGCCCGACAGATATTCAAGTTCCTTAGTGTATTCTCCTTTTTTGATAAATAACAATGCATCACATGGCAGCAGCTCCCTATTGATTCAGCAGTAATGACCAGAGATGGAGCTGTGCCACTTACAGAGGTAGAGTCCTGGCAGCATAATTTCCTCCACACACATGTACTTCTTGGCTTCCTAGCCGTAACCTTACGAGCACTACAGAGTTCTTGTCAGCACTTCGTTGTCTCTAAGCCTCACACCCCATGGAAGAGCAGAGGTACAGAACTAGCTTCCAGGGAAGCTCTGGTACATCTAATTCTCAGTGTGGACCATGACAGTTTGTCACATAAGGAAAGCAGCCTACTCAAAAGAGAGAGATGTGTTCAGAAATTATTCCTCAACTAGGAGGTGTAAACTGACTGCTGGGGTGACAAAAATGACATTCTTTCCCTCATAAGCTGAGTGGTCCTTTCTGTCAGACAGACATGCAGTGTGCCTCAGATGAAATGACATAGGAGTGAGGAATGAAATAGAGTATTTCCCAGGAAAATTAATCCTTTAAGTGATTTTTTTTCTTCCCTTTCCTGCCTTGGATACCCACAGGTTATGAGCAGTCGCTTCCTACCCTACGACAACATAGTGACAGATGCAGTGCTAAGCCTGGACGAGGACACCGTGCTTTCAACCACTGAGGTAAGCGCCTCTGACATCTGGAGAGTCTGCCCGGCTCCTTGGCCAATCCTGAGCACAGCAGATAGGCTCTTCTCTTGCTGGTGGCCAAATGTTAAGAGGTTTCCTGTGATACTCCTCAGATTTTCTGTTTTTCACTTGTTTCAGAAACCCTGCCACTGACTGAAGAGCTTTTCACCTCGGTTAATTGGCTCGTCATTAGCATATGGTTCTTCCGCTCTTTATTATTTTAGTAACATAGCTGCAGGCGGGTGTAGGCAGCCAGGAGCAGTCGACTTTAACTCTGTTCTCACTTTTCTGATTAGGGTAGGTTTTTTTCCCCCTGTGCTACCGGTAGGATGTAGGTGGGGAAAGAAGGGGTGTCAGCAGCAGGGGATTGCTGTTGCTCCAAAAGAGAGCATTGCCATCTAATACAGCATTTGCTGGGGAATGTTTTCTTGCTGACTGTTGTGTCTTCCCATAAAGTTGGAGATCTTTGCTAGTTGAGGTGTTGGAGTGTTTGTGCTAAGAGGAAGATAGCGCTAAGGAAGAAAAATACTGTAGAAAAGCAATTTTTACAACTGGGATGAGTATTGATTTCTGGAACCTCTTCCCGAGAACCACAGGGGAAACTGTTGACAGTTTATATAGAGTGCAATATTTGGGAAATACATTATTAATGACGGCCAGGGAATAGCTTGAAAAAATTGATTTTCTTTTGTTTTCCCTTTTTTTTTCCCCCCATGTCCATGGTTATTCCTTTCTCCTCGTTTCACCTTTATAAAAGCACTTTCTTTGTCAGTGATGTGGACTTTTCACTGATATAATTGCTGCTAGTGAGGAAATGCCTAACATTAGCCACCGGTCACTGCTGTATATCCTAAGATGTCACTGAATTTGTTCTAAATGGATGAGATTGTAGGTGTTGTTCTCCCCAGTATGGTTTTCTCGTGCTGTGGTTAAGCTGCTCCAGATGGAGCCGTGGTAGCCCTCTTCTGCTTTTCAAATGGCGTTGAACCTTTGCGATACCAAGGTTACATCCTGGTTGCTCCTGCAAGATGAGGAAGAATACAGCTGCTCCCAAACCATTTATGTGCGCAGCCTGAGAAATCCTAAACACTGAAATGAAGACATTTGTCCTGGGGCTGGAGATCCTAAGCAGCTTTTTGTTCAGGATGAAGAGAGCTATCTCGGCTGCTCATGGTAAAAACTGCCAGGGTTCATTGTACTGAGGTGGTAGGTACAGCAGTCCAGCCTGTGGATTGCAGGAGGATTTGGGGCTTTTGTTTTCTTTTTGCCTAGTATTTATCATCATCCTTATTTTGTAGTCATTCGGACTTCTGGAATGCATGTGAGACAAGGTTTTTCTCATTTGGCTTGGCTGTATTTTACACTGAACATTTTGAAATGCAAGTGTTTGTTGTTGTGTGACATAATGTATGTGTTTTTTTGTGGATTCCTCCCTCCTGTAAGCACGATACTGTGTGTTTGCATGGTAGGTTTTGGCTCTGAGCCTCCTGTCCCTGTGCTTTTGGTGGCTCTCTGAGAAGAACTGAGTTCTTTCTTCTCCTTCACTTCTCATCACGCAGCTTACACAAAGAAACAGCCTGTTTGAAATGCTGAGTGTGCATAGTGTGCACTATGAAACTTGCCTCAGAACTGACTGCTCATGGGTGGTCATTGTGGCAAAGCTTCAGGGACCAGAAGGAGCAGTTTAGCAGCATGGTCAAACATGATCACATTCCTGCTGGGAGGAGCAGTTGCCAGACACATCTTCTGCCCTGTCCAGACCTTGTGGACTGTCAGTCTCCCCTTTGCAGCAGAACGGCGTGTGGTTGCTCTCTTGAGAAGAGCTCTGTCATGTGCACGGAGGGATGTTTGTGTGGGAAGTAATTAGAAATCAGCATGAGTTAGGAATAATATGAGGATTTAAGGGACTGGCAGCCGGATTGGCTTTTCCTGCTGATCAGCTGAGTGGCAGTGCTGCAAAATTACGCAGGATAAGGACCAGTTTGGGGTTTTTTCTGTTAGGATGGTTGGTTTAGTGGGTACAAGGGCAGATACTTGAATACACGAGTGAAGACACTGGGTGTTGCCGCTTTGTTATTTATTTAAGTTTGAGATTCTCAAACGTCTCTAAAGAAAACAGATGTCAGGCTTTATAGGACAGGGAAAAAACCTTTAGCTCTTTCATGTGGTACTGATTTGGATGCGATCAGAACTATCAAAAAGATAACTGGTTTGTGCACATTGTCTTTCTAGTTGGCCTCAGATTCCTTGAAACAACTTGAAAGAAAGCAACCAGTCCTTAGTGTTGTGTTCCAGTACATGTGTGACTCTTCTGTTTCATAAAAGTGCTTGTAAATGAGGGAAGTCTGACAACCATCACACAAAATGTGACTATTCTCATAGCAGCTGTTCTTTGTCTAACCTCTACACCCTTGACTTTGGCTGTATTCTTGAAAGGTTTTCCAAGCATTTTTGAGCAAGGTTTTGGTCCCTCTGGTACAGAGGGGAATATGCAATGCAGAAACAAGACCCCCCTTTCTCTTGGATTTGAATGGAACAATTAGAGTTGTCTTTCTTTTTAAAATTTTAATCTAGCTTGAGCCAAGTTGAATTGCAGGGACTGCCAACCAACTTTAACAGAAAATAAAGCATAAATAAAAAATTTTCCATATGTGTTTTTACCAAACACCTTTCAAATCAAATGCTGATGAGCCTTCTGCAAACTACCCCAACCATCCCTTTCCTCTTATGACTAGTATTTGTTTGGTGGGATTCCAGGGCAGCAATCCCGTATCAACCTTTCAGTTCTCTAAGGTTTGAATGATTAAGCTAGTTTCAGTGAGATAAATAAATAAATGAAAGAATCTTTATGCCAGCATTTAATATCTTCTTGTGATTTATACAGTAAAATCCATTTTTTTTTAAAGCACAGACTCCCATGGAATCTACCTCTGTTTTTATTAAGCTATCATTTTAACCCTTGTGGTCATACATACAGTCTTAAAGGTGTCACCTCAGCACATTAAGGGCTCAAAACAGATGGATAATATAAAAGAAATCCACACTGATTGCTTGTTTTAATCTCACCAAGCCACCCCTATAATTTAAGGTGTTTGATTCCTGATTTTCCAAGCTTTCTGTTGACAGTACTGAAATGGTAGGTAAGTGAAATGCATGAATATGTGCAAAAGGTTCAGTTATCCACATGGCTTTTAGCACTCTATATTGCATGTAAGTACGCAGGCCACTCCGAAAGTAATGCCTCCTATTTATTTTCATGGAATCTACAACAGATATAAAGAGCATGCTATCACTATTTGATAGAGCAAATTCTACGTAACAGCTTCATGATAATATTTTTCACATAGTCACCACCTGTAACTGTGTATTTTTGCCAGTGATGAACAAGAGACTGCATGCCACACATAACAATTGACCAGTAGAAGTGACCCTCTTTTTGACAGCTGCTATGACAGTGTTGTTGATAAGAAAATGTTGCCCATTCAATCCACCTTTCATCAAGCTGAACAGATGAAAGTTAGGAGGCACCAAATCTTGACTATATGCTGGGTGTGGTAGGACAGTCCAGCCCAGATTGCTGCTCCGTGATCTTCAAATGGGTCTGGGGCTTGGTGTTCTTATGTTGCAAGAGAAGGATTGTTTTCTTCTCTGGCCTGACACTGGAAGTTCAAGCCTTCAGCTTAGTGTTGTGATGGTCAGAGTCGATGGTTTGTCCTGGTTACAGGAAATCCAGAAGGATCACTCCTTTCCTAACCCAAAGGACAGTGCACATCACTTTACCCACTGACAGCTGCATCTTGAACCTTTTCTTCAATGAGGAATTCAAATGTCACCACTCCATGGAGTGCTGTCTTGACTCTGGCTCTTAATGATGACACCACATCTCGCCACCAGTGATGTTGTGATCCAGGAAACTGTCCCCTTCAGCCTCATGTTGGTTCAATAGGTCCTGACAAACTTGCACATGCTGTTCTTTCTGTTCCTGTGTGAGCATTTCAGAGACTCATCTGGCACAAACTTTGTGACATTCCAACATTGTCACCATTGTGTCCAACACTGAAGTCAGTATTTAGCCCTGTACGTAGTTCCCTGGTTGTGATCTATCAATTCATGTGGACGAGCTGATCAAGACGCTCTTCATTTCATCCAGAATGTGGCTTGTCTTTCACATCAGTGTTGCCACTTCTGAATTTCACCACCCACCACCTCACTGTGCTGACATCCACCTTTTGATATTCATAAGTGTTCAGCAAGCATTGGTGAATGTCAGTGGGCACCGTTTTTTCCACTTGGAGGAATTCAGTTCCATATCTTTGCTTCATACACACTTCCATATCAAACACTGTTTTCATAGAATCTCCAAGGTTGGAAAAGACATCCAAGATCACTCCAACTGTCCACCTACCACCAATATTTCCCACTGAACCGTGTCTTCTAGTACATCTAAATGTTTTGTGAACAGTTCCAGGGTCAGTGATTCAACCACTGCCCTGGGCAGCCTGCTTCAGTGCCTAACCACACTTTTGGAGAAGGAATTTTTCCTGATGTTGAATCTGACAGTTCATATTCCTGTCATTTTGTCAGTCTGCCCCCCTGCTGCCATCTACAGCATGACAACAATAGGGAATGGAATATTGGTGGGAAGGTTCAGCCTCTACTGCCATACCACCAATATCCACCTCTGACTTCGTGGGCCAACATCATAAAATAGGAGGCATTACTTTTGGAGCAGCCCTCGTACAAATGCATGCACCTACACCAGTTCTTTCTGTAACTTGAAAAGGTTTGATATGTAAAGGGCAAGCTTGAAAATGTTAATGTAATGCTGTGATGCTCTAGACTCCCTTTAATGGAAACCATTAAAATGTGCATAATTATAGGGCAAAATGTCAAGCAGTCAGTTTAATTTACTGATGAATACACAGAATTAATGTTTTGCAACAGTTCCAAGATTTTGAATTATGAATTAGTGGCAAGGTAATATTTTGTTTGTCGACATTTATTGGAACAGTTTTGGTATTCATTTGGTCTGTGCCTTTGTCTGCAGGTGGATTTTGCCTTTACAGTTTGGCAGAGTTTTCCGGAGAGGATTGTGGGGTACCCTGCTCGCAGTCACTTCTGGGACAACACTAAAGAGAGGTGGGGCTATACCTCCAAGTGGACTAATGACTATTCCATGGTATTGACAGGAGCTGCTATTTACCACAAGTAAGAACCCAAAGCATCAGCTGTTCTCCTTCTGTATGAAACAAAGTGGTAGTGGGGAATGAAAGACATTCTTCCGGGGAGGGGAAAAAATGGAAAGATAATAAATGGGTCTACTTTTTATGGGGTAATAATTTAAGTTCTCAGTTTAGCTCTGGGGATCTGGTAATCATTATTGCGCTTGTTGGGTCCCTTTGAAGTCACTTGTATTTTGAGGCGGTCGGACTGCTCTTTTTAACATCAGGAATTACGCACTTCAAAGAGTTCCCGAATTCATTAAGCTGCTCAACTGAATGGCCTGTAGCATAGCAGAAAGGAGTTTACTTCCAGACCAGCACTGGATATGTGCTGGCTGACAGCTGCAGTCTGCAAAGTCTTCTGGCTACTCTAAAAACATCGTGCAATGGACACATCGTAGGCCAGCATATTGCAGCATACTGGAGAAAACCCCTGTTGTTAGAACTTCCGCAGACCAAAGGCATCTCTAGATGGTAGGAAAAAGTCAACATATTCTTCAGTACCTAATCCAAATCTTAGCAGAGGAGAAGACAGACTGTAGGGGATGATAGAGGTCCGAAGGAGAATAGTTTGAACAATGAGGACAGCAGCAGGCTGATATAATGGAGTTCCTCTGACTGAACAGTTTTGAAAAGAAAGATAGGGGATAAATCAGTATTGGCAATTACAGTATAACAGTGGAAGTGCTCTAAGTCCTACTTCTTGATACATAGGTCTGCAATATTTCTTTTAACTGAGGTTTTTTTTTTTTAAAGCTATATATTTTGTTTCTCAATTAATGCTGTGTATAGTTTTGGTGAGGTATATAATCAGTTCTCCCTTCCTGTTAGAGAACTGAGGAAAAGGTCTGATGTATGCAGAGTTGAGGACAAAATTTCTGCTTCAGTTGGAATTCATAATCTCTGAAAGCCCAGTGGCTTCTCTTAATAACCCTACTGTTACTTTCCAGATATTATCACTACCTGTACACTCATTACCTGCCTGCCAGCCTAAAGAATATGGTGGACCAACTGGCCAATTGTGAGGACATTCTAATGAATTTTTTGGTGTCAGCTGTGACAAAATTGCCTCCAATCAAAGTAACGCAGAAAAAACAGTACAAGGAGACCATGATGGGACAGGTATGTATCCATAGCATATTTTAGCTGTCGGGATGTATTAATAATTTAACATTTTGAATTCCATATTAGGCTTACAGAATGAATAACATTCTGGCTATTTTTTGCAGTTTTTAGCTTGACAGAGCTATAAGTTACACTATAGATTTTGTTACTAAAGTGAAAGAAAATCCAGAAGGAGTACTGGCAGGCACCTACTTCTTAATTTCTTATACTGTGTTACTTACAGTGATCCCAAACTCATGGAACGTTTATTTTAGTGACTGAATTTTAGTTAAACTCCCAGTTTTCTAATTAAATATTCTGGAGAGAAGACCTCATGGAATGCTAGAAACAGAAGTAAATTCTGAAAAGATTTTATATTTTTAATTATTTTTAATGAATATTATATACCAGCAGACATATAATGGGATTATATATATTCCTTATATACTGGGGATATATAATGCATATCGTACCTCCGTGCTGTTTTGAAGTATATAGTGTGTTGCAAGTGCTGATTGTCACAAAAGAGGTAAGTTTTGTTGCATGGTGTCATTAGAACTCACTAGCAGCCATGAAGTGGGTACTGTGGGGCCTCTTCCATCTATTAAGTATTCTGTAATTGCAGAAATGGATATACATTCTAGCAACAAGGACACAGGTTAACTTGAAGGGTATCTGCTCTTCCCTTGTGTGAGTGAGCAGTGGGAACAGGGACAAGTCCTAAATAATCTATCTGTGCTGCCACAATGTCTATTATCAATACTTCCAGGTTTGCTATGGGAAGGAGGGGTCAGGAAGAATGAAGAGGCTTTCTTTTTCCCCTCACATTTTCTCCTATTAGCGTTGTCCATGTCTTTGGCAGGAGAGTGACTGTGCCACTTTGTAGACTCCATTATCTGTATGCCACTGCACAGGAATGTTCTTTGGCTGTTTGGCAAAGGCTGAACAATCATTTTTCTTTTTTCAGCGTGGGTAGCTTGAATCATCTATGAACTATAACTCTCTCCTAAAGACAAGTTGTTCGTGCAGCTTTGGGAAATGTAATGGACTATGTTCATAATTCCTTGAAAGACAAATAAAAAAATTAACATAACCTCAGTGTTGTGACAGAGATTAACAGTCATATGGAAATTCATTGCTAATGGTCAGAATATCGGCTTTAATCCTCCAGCAACAAGCTTTAGTGACTCTGTATAATCAAGAGTCCGTAATCAATGCACATAATAAGCTACCACTTGTGCTGAACTGGACAGGCCTTGGATAAAGATCAAGTCTGATAAAACACTCCTTTGGCAATTCCCTGACTTTATCAGCTTCTTCACATTTTAATTAACACACTTTGAGCTTATGAATTGTTATTTGTTTTTAAAGTGTAGTAGAAACATAAGTGCTATAGAGATGCATGAGAAGTGGCACAAAACAAAATGGAGCAGCTTCACAGCATTTATAGCTTCCCTTAAATAATAGCTCTATTGTTTTCATACACGTACTCTAAGTACAGATATAGAACAATAATTGCATTCAGGCTGTTAGGTCTTATTTTTTCAGAGATGCTGATTTTCAGTAGACTTTCATTGGAATTATAGCTGTCCTCAGCTTTAGAAAATTAGTCCATAGAATTTTACATATATGCAACCTGTGGTGTTTTCCTCACATCAGAGTTTATCATGATGTAATGTGGAACTTCAGTTTATTTTCTCTAAGACACTACTGTCATCTGCACTGGTCTGGACAGATGCGCTTTGTGGAAGCACTCTGTTTTTCCCTGCTGGACATTTGCAAACAAGTAATGTTAGGCATGTATGGACTTCAATTGAGCTTAGTTACAAGCCACTTGAAATACATATCGATTTCTGGAGGTCTGGACTTTTTTCCTTTCCTTTTTCTTTTCCTTTTTCCTCTCCTCCTTCCTTTCCTCTCCTGTTCCCTTTCCGTTTCTCTCCTTCCCTTTCCTCCCATTTTTCCTCCCTTCTCCTCCCCCCTCTTCCCCCCCTTGCTTTCCCCTCCCCTCCCCCCTCCTCTTCCTTCCCCTCCCCTCCCTTCCCCTCCCCTCCTCCCTGTGATTTTTAATGTCTTGCTCTCTCCCAAAACAGAGAGAGATGAGGTGAGGCACTGTGCTGGCAGGTGATGGGAGGCCTGCCCAGGATTGTCATGATGTGGGTGACACTAGACACAGTGAGACTCTGCTCACCATGCTGTGTGGTCCTTAGCATGGTTTTGGAGGCCAGGGAGGCCAGCCTGCCATCAGCAGCTGCCATTACACATGGGGTGTCCATCCTCTGACTTGATGCCCCTCACAGAGCAGATTTCTGTAGACAGTGCTGCAGGGCTGGTTTCTACCAAGCCCTGTTGCAGCTGCACGGCTCTGTGTCTCCCAGGCTGAGGCACCCACCCTCTGCTGCCATTTTGTTGCCTCCCTTCCAGTCACTGCTTAACTTCTGCTCCTCTCCACACAGACATCCCGGGCCTCACGCTGGGCTGACCCCGACCACTTTGCCCAACGGCAGAGCTGCATGAACACTTTCGCCAGCTGGTTTGGCTATATGCCGCTGATCCACTCTCAGATGAGGCTCGACCCCGTCCTCTTTAAAGACCAGGTCTCCATCCTGAGGAAGAAATACCGAGACATTGAACGACTCTGAGGAGCGCTGCCCATGGGGCCGAGCTGCCCCAGCCCCACACGGCCGCCGGCGCCTGGAGCTGGACTGTGCCGGGCCCGGCCGCACCTGGACATGGCGAGCGGCACCTGGCGGTGCGTGGCTCCGGACTGCTTCCCTGCCCGGCAGGCCTCTGTCGCTCACGACTAGGTTGTGTACAGTTTCATTATGGAACATTAAATAATTATTTTTGAAATGATTGCTATGCAGGTTTAAACTTTTTTAATGATAAAAAAAAAAAAAAAACTATTAAAAACAGAGTTCTTTCTTTAATCAAAATTGTGTTGGTTGTGAATATTTCAAAGCTGCCATTTCTTTCTTTCATGCATTTGATTGTCATAGCAATTTTCATTCATTTTTCCCCTGCAATGTTAAATGCTTGAATCTCACGGGGAGAAAATGCAGCAGGTTCAGGAACAAATTGAGCACAAGCAGGACAGGAATGAAGTATTATGTTTCTCCTAAGCTGCTGATTTTTGTGATATTTCTTTTCTTCATTTTCCACAAGCCGGTTGTGGCCGCTATGGCAGAGCTCCTTTGGATGGGCAGAAAACCAGAGAGCCCACAGCGTGTGTAGTTCCTGCTGGCTGACGCCTGGCTTTGGGCAGGGAGAGGAGCAGCCGTGCCAGGAGCAGAATGGCAGTGGGGCCTTCATGCACGCAGGAACACCGGGCTGCTCGCAGCAAGGCCTTGTCCCCATGGCCCTGCTGCTGGGCCAGAGCAGTATGGCTGGGGGCAGCGCTGCCGCCAGGCCACAGCCGCTGAGTCTCCAGAAATAGCTTTGTTTGGAGGGCAGAAGGGGTGTTGGTGCAAAAAGGGAGCATGTTAGTTCCTGCAGAGCAGGAATTCGGCCTGTAACAAAGTGTTTTATATGGAATCAAACTGTGGGCTTCTCGCTCTCTCTCTCTTCTTTTTTTTTTTTTTTTTTCTTCTTTTCATTTTTTGGAAGTGCAAATAGTTGGAGAAATTCCCTTCTGGATTTCTGCACCTGAAGCAAAATGTGTTGTCAGAGATCAGTGCTGGCAGCAGCAGGTTCTCTTGGGTTTGCATGAGGCAGGGTAACTTGGGCTGAAGCCTGCCTTGAAAGTACCAGTGTAGCTCACTCTCCAAAATGGTTTTATCATTTCAGATGGAAGCATTTTTTAAGTTGGAATATCCCAATTGTTCACTTTTCTGTAATGCTTTGCTTATTTATGCTTTTTCTCAAGTGAAGAGTGAAAACAAAGGGTCAGGAAGGTGCTGTGATGGTTTGCTAAAACAACAAGCACTTTAAAAACATTTCACAGTCTCACATCTCTGTGAGGTGCATTGGAGTGTTCTACAGTGATAACCACCTCCACAGCAAGAGCATATAGTGACAGTGCCCAGCAAGGACCAGTGAACCTTCCTATACCTCATTCCTTGGCATCCAGGCTGTTCTGTAGCAGGGGTGAAGAGTAACTGGAGAATGTTGTTATGCTACAGATGGCTAGGCGCTGGAACAAGTTGCCCAGAGATGTAGCATATGTTCCATCCCTGGAGACCTGCAAGGTCAGGCTGGACGGGGGTCTAAGCACCCTGCTCTAGCTGTAGGTGTCCCTGTTCACTGCAGGGGAGTTGGACTAGATGGCCTTAAGGGTCCCTTCCAAATGAAATGGTTCTGGATTTCTGTGATATAAATAGAGAGAGTGCAACAGGGCTAACGTTTTGTTTAGGCTCAAATGCTGATGTACTGCACAGCTTTTATCAACTTCCTTAACCATGGCGTGCACAGGTCCTCATTTGTTGGAGCAGTAGCTACTGGTATTAGAGGGAATGCCATAAAGCTTAAACAATTTCTCTCGAGATGGCGAGATCAAAATCCCTAACTGAAAGTTGCTTTAGAACTGTAAAGTAGATATTACTAGATGTTTGTTTGCAGTGTGGCATGTAAAGACTTGCAAGGTGTGGTTGGCTTTGCATTTGTACAGCAGTATTCAAACAGAGCACAGCGAGTTAGGGTGGGAACATCAGGTTCTTGACATTTTGCATTGAGTCTGAACCAAATCCTTACAGGAATTGATCGCAGCACGCATGGGGCTGCAGCCAGTAGCTGAGTGCTGCTGGAAGGAAGAGGTACCTCCTCAGCTCCATCCATTCCTGCCTTGGCCATAGTCTCACCTTGTGCCTGCTGCCAGCCAGGGGCAAAAAAGTGGCTGGTGATTTTGTAATGCCATTTTAGAGAGTTAAATCAGCATATGGAAAGTTCCGTGGAGAGACAAGAGTAGGTAGACAGGATCAGGGAGGAAGGCAAGCAGTCTGTCCTCCCATCTCTGTATGGTGAGCTGAAATTTCAGCTCTCCACATCCCATAAAGTGGTACCCATGCTACTTTGTGCTCTTGAAAATCAGGCAGCTCCTCCAGGGACAGGAATATGTCTTCTCAGATCTGCTGCAGCACGCGTCAGACACTGGATGAGGCAGGCAGGGTGTGTGGATGTGTCCTCAGCATCGCTGGGGATAGAGAGTGGGAAAGAGGAGCCCTACATAAAATGACAATTGCAATTCTTCCTGTCTTTCAGTTAGTGCCGTTTTGGCGGTTTAGCAATGGGAGCAGCTCATCAGTGTTGGAGTGCAGCAAGTAAGGCCAGGCTTTTAAGCTGTTTGATGTTGTGTCACCCTCACTTTTCAGGGTGGCTGAGGGAGACTGCTAAAGCTCTGAATGAGTTTTGAGGTCCTTTCTGTTTACAGATCAGTAATTAAGCAAGAAACAATAATGGGCTTAGCTGCAGAAGGCTCAGAATAGATGCGCACATTCCCCTCTGCAGCAGGTTACCAGGCAGACCCATCACCCTAGGAAGGAATGTATCTCGTATGTATGTATGCCCCAGCACCCATTTGAAGAACTGGATGCAGATTCAATGCAGGTGTTCAACTTGGTATACCTGATGTGGGTGCTGTCAGACAGTGCTCCTGCGGACACCGGGTGTACTTCCAGGCCTTTTCGTGTCTGTGTCAGGTAGAGCCCTGTTGTTCCACAATCACCCTTTTATTACATCCTACGTGTGAGTTAATGGTTCTTTATCCTTTTTTTCCACACTTAATTCAGATGGTGCTGAAACAAGGTTCATTCCTTGTTGCTCCTTTTGTAGTTTTTTAAATTATTTTTTTATTTTTCATGAACAGCAGGCTATGTTAGCCTTTACTTTACAGGTACTTGAATGCTTGATGACTTGACTGAGTGTTTCTCATGTGGCCTTTTGTAAAAGTTACTGACCTTAATTTAATCAGGGGTGAGATGGATGGATGAATGTGAACAGATCCATACCATCTAAGCAGAGCAAAAGTAGGGAGTAGAGTTTGGAAGAACTGATGATTTTTTAATTGAATTTATTTAAATAAAAAATAAAAAAATAAAAAAAAAAAAAGGAGAAACCCTTTCCAGTTATGATTTGAATGAGATCTGTTGCTGGAGGAGGGTTTTGTAATGAGAAAAACGAGACACAAAAACAGGGGCAAGCTTCCAAGATAGAAAGTGCCTGGCTCTCTGTGCAGTCCCTTGGGCCTGTGTGAGATTCCTCTGCCCTCTTTCTATTTTGTGAAAAACTCTAGCTATTACCATAGCTTTTTTCCAAATGTGAATGTTTAAGCTATGTAACAATTCCATTATGAACACAGTGGTGTGCTAATGCACAGCTATCGAGCGCTTTGATCTTTTCCACTTGAAAACACGGTGGATTTGATCACCTTCAGATTCCAATTTCTTCCTCAGAGCCAACCTTGACGAAGGAATTAATCTTTCACCAATGAACGCCTTTTAGAATAGCTCGTTTACCAAAAGGTGTCGTTTCAAGAATGGAAGCAATCATTTGATGCTGAGACAATGACAGAAGCAGCTAGAAGTACAGTTTTATTCGTTAAACCTTTACGTTCCCTGTGTAAAGTGCAGCATCTTCCTCTTTCTCCCCTTATTTCAAAAATAAAAGTGGAAACTCGCTCTTCGTAGCTCCTGAATGAATGGACAGCCCTCCTGTTAACTCCACCAGTTAAACATACAGCACCAGAGGATCGCTGCCTGCTCGTGCTCTGGGCTGACACAGAAGCATGGCCTGTTGTGGGGTCATCTCAATGGGCATCGCTGGGGTTTGGCAGGGACGGGCCTGGGGCCTTCCTGCTGTCTGCTGGAACATCTCCCCGGGTCTTGTGCCTCTCACCCTTGTTTAAAGCTAAGTCAAGTTGGCCTTTGTTCCTCTGGTCTGTCTTCACACACATTTAGAGTTCAAGTAGGGGGATTTATGGGACTCATCAGAGGCCTCTGGATGCCCCCTCCCACCCTTTTTGTGATTTTTTAAGTGAGTTAGTGATGATCCAATGGGCCTTGTGACCTTGTACATAATCCTGTATATTTATTTTGAGAGACAATATGTATAGTGTTTGGGGGATGAGAATGGAAACCTGAAACGGGAATTCAGAGGTGGACAAATGTAAAGAAACAAAGAAAGAAACAAATACAATCTTATTTTGTACAAAATGTACATTTTGGAGAATTTTTTTCTAATGCATTACCGATGTTTTCATAGTGCTGCCACATCTTTTTTAAAGTGTTTCTCCCTCTTTGTTTGACTATTGAAACATGGTGCAATTAAACCTAAAGCAAGTGTGTGAGTGAGAGAAAAAGAGAGAGTGAGAAATTAAAAAGCCATATAATTTGGTTTACTTCATTAACCTGTATAACAACATAGGTTTGCCATCTAAAATAGGTTGTTTTTATAGATAGTGTCACCAAAGACTTTTTTTCTTCAGATTTATTTTGAAAAGTTGTTAATAAAGGACGTACATTTCTGTTGCGGTGTGGTTTTATTGTTAAGGTAAAATAACAGTTGTTCCTTGTAATGTTGAAATTGTAATGTTGAAAATGCACACTGGGAGCATGATTGCCGTGTTCCTTGAGTTCAGGGTAATGAAATGGATGACACTTTGCTGTATCTGCTCTCTCCTCAGCTTGAACTGAGTGATGTTGGTGTGTATCTATCTGCTGTATAGATGGTATACGTGGTATAGCATCTATACGGTAACACTGACAGGTGTTTACTGTCTTACCTGAGGGCAGGGAAAACTCAGTCTGTGCCACTTGTAGGTCAGACAGTATCTCTGCATGGTGACACAGTAATTGGTAGGTAACACTGATTTGTAATAGGAGTCGCTATAATTGTGTAGAGGAAAAAAAAAGTGCTGCACCAACCCGAGGCCTTGGAAGGCTGATCCCTAGTGGCTGAGAACGTATTACAGTATTGGCCCATGTTTTTTGTTAAGGAGTTGTCA